TCACAACAACAGTTGTCTCACAGCGCTTTCCAAACAGAGCAGGTCAGGCATTATTGGTATTATTTTTCCCGAGGTAATGTCCTCCATTCAGTAAACACGTAAAAGAAACAGTCTGATACGTTACGGTAAATCAAACGTTAGCGCGTCACAATATATAGCAACTAGCATAAAGCTGACAAGCTTTTCTTGTAAAAAAAACAAAAAACACCAGTATACTAGTTAGGATCAGATTCAACGTTTAACTTTAATGTCCAATTTTTTTTAACAACTGCATTCTCTTTTAAAATAAGGACTAATAGATAAGTACATTGTGCAGTACTGCGAATCCCCAGAAGGTGCTGAGCGCTACTTCTTCTACGGGAGAAAATGGCTGCTTCCAGAGACCTGTTACGACTCAATCCTGATCAATATACAAGACACAACGGATTATAAGGCGCTTTTTTGAGAAAATGTAAGGCTTTTTAGGTGCCTTATAGCGCGGAAAATGTGGGTTTAGACCCAGCCAGAGGAACCTGGCAACACCTGAATGGTCCCATAGACCTCTATGGTTAACCGAGCCCCGAAAGAGGGGCCAAACCCCGAATCCAAACCTGAGAAGCGTGTTTATGAGGGTTCCCCAACCGAGGAGACGTTGATGCATTCGAACATAACCTCAAAAGCTGAGCCACGTAATTAGCAGCAGGCAGGTGAGTCAGAGTTGTTTGGAGAGCTGGGACCAGTGATTGTGTGGTGCCGATCCACCAGGGAAAAACAGGCTGGTAGGAAACCAGGAGGGTGTGTGTGTGTGTGTGTGTGTGTGTCTGTGTGTGTGTGTGTGTGTGTGTGTGTGTGTGTGTGTGTGTGTGTGTCCTAGTTGATGCAGCAGAGTCAGAACAATAAGTAGTTTTTAACCAACAAAGTGAGGTCTTTTTTGGAAAGTGGTCCTCACTTTATTGTGCGTGTGTGTGTATGTGTTTCTGTGTGTGTGTGTGTGTCTGTGTGTGTGTGCGTGCTTGTGTTTGTGTGTGTGTGTGTGTGTGTGCGTGTGTGTGCGTGTTTGTGTCTATGTGTGTGTGTGTTTGTGTCTGTGTGTTTGTATGTGCGTGTCAGCTGCTTGTGTGTGTGAGCGTGTGTGTGTGCGTGCGTGTCACCTGCGTGTGTTTGTGTGTGTGTGTGTGTGTGTGCGTGTGTGTTCGCGTATCAGCTGCGTGTGTGTGTGTGTGCATGTGTGTGTTTGTGCGTGTTCGCGTGTGTGTGTGTTTGTCTGTGTGTGTTTGTGTCTCTGTGTGTGTGTGCATGTGTGTGTGTGTGTGTGTGCTTCCCGGTGGAACAAAATGGCTGTAAGAGAAGCCCCAAAAGAGAAAAAAACAACAGAGTCTTCCACCGTTTGACGTGTTTGAAAGACCTGCCGATGCCCATTGGAGGTCAGGTTATATTCCAAAAAAGCTCCGATGCTTTTACACCGACGTGCGTGTCAGACTTTTGTGCTCCTGAAGCCACAAACCACCAGGAGGGGAGTCGTGGGGGAAAGTGGTCTGGTTGCATTTATCCAGCCCAGCCACACGGCTACCGACTTTTTCTGTAATATACAGCAAATTAACAGATAACCACCCAATACCAACACTAAAAGGCCCATCCATCAACTCGTTTTTATTTGGTGGGGCCCCAGCCCCCTTAAACAAACGCCATGATTATTTTTCGAGGCCCGTTTGATCCTCAGAGGATCCGGAAAATTTGGAGGGAAGATGACGCTTTAATATTTGGACGTGTGCGCGGAAAGTCGGCCTGAAAACCATATTTATTTCTCAGTTTTTTTTTTTATTTCTGAGCTGTCAGACACGAGGAGGCCGAGACGCCATTGATAATTAATGATCATGTGACCTGCAGCAACCAAAGCCCCACCTAGTGGCCCGGGATTTATTACTCCACCTGTTAGAAACGCGAGAAAACGCTTTATTTATGTAGAATTCTTTTTTAATCCTTTTACAACTAAATATATTAGTTATTAATGTGTTAAACCCCAAAGAGAAGCAGCTAAAGGCTCCTTTTCCATTCTTTTTCCATTGTTTTTGTCTCCTTTTTGACAGTTTTTCTTGTTATTGAGTTCTTTATCAGGTTATTAGGTTTTAGTGGAGTCCTCTCTCTGTTAGTTTTGTGTCAGCGTTTCACCATTTTCAGCTAATCAGGATTTCAAACCCAGTTTTATAGTTTTTTCTCCCCTTCTCAGCAATTCTGAACTTCTGTGAGAACATTCAGCCACTAAAACTCTCTTTTCTGTTCAGGAATGACAGGAAATAAACAGAATCTGACATTTGAATGAGAAATAATTATGTTCTTTAGCTATTTTTTTTCATTTTTTGGGTTGAACAGAATATATTAAACAATTCTGTTTCAGTGTTAAACATCATTTGAGCTGCGGAGCTTCGTCAGACTGGAGTTTTAACCATTACAGAGTTGCTTTTCTGTTCATTTATGGCTCAAACCTCCCACTGGGAGGGGGCAGAATAATGTTTTAGACTATCTTAAACTTCCAGAAATGAGGCATCTTAAGGTCAAAGTTTACAGGCAGAAGGAGGTAAAGACAAACTACAGTAAGAAGTAAGATGGAGACTTGAAGTGTGATTTCTATCTGAACAAGGCAAAGCTATAGACCTGAATAGAATGGACCTGTTCAATGAAGAATTAATTACGTTTTAGATCACTATTGTCACTATGTGATAAACAAAATACAAGAACTATTATCATAATCAATTAGACTTAAAGCACTTGTTAAAATAATTCTTATTCACTCAGCTTTGTATTGATGTGAATACAAAATGTTATTGTTTGAAAGATGTGTTTAAAAGACATAATTAACTCATTGGCTGCCAAAGACGTCTATAGACGTCTTTTATGTTTTTCAACGAGAGTGGCTGGGGGACGATCTGCTAAAGCTTGTCCGTAAATATC